AGCATATTTTTACTGGCACATGCAGAGGTTTCTAATGCAGGCAGGACTAAGTGAATGATTTATTTCTTTACAAGTGACCTATATAGCTCTTCAGTGTGTCACCTGAAATTTAACCATGTTTCTCATGTAAAATGCTTTTTTTTCCTTCAAATCTCTATGTAAAGTTTCCTTCTTCTCCCCGTTCTGTTTGGTGGCATCGGAAACACTTAAATGTGTGGCTCAACAGATGTTTTATTTTCACAGCACAGTGATATTTTGGAAAGAAACCAATAATTGCTAGAAGCAAGCCTTCCCTGCTTGTATATTTACAAAATCGTGATACACACAGTTGAATTAACAGGCTGGGCTAAATAAGATATCTGAAACTTGGCTCCAGAGGGACAGACCTTTAGCTTGGAAAGTGTTTTATCACCTTTCATGTGGCGTATCCAGCATGTGGAAAGTGGAACTTCTTCGTTTGCAAAATGGCATGAGCATAGTTTGTTTATTACTATTAAGGGTCTTGATAAACATTTTTTTTCCTCAGGACAGGAATAGGGAATTTTAAGAACAGATACAGTTTTGAGGTTACTTTTTGAATCCACATTTTTTCTCATCTTAGGTTTCCTTGAGTATACTATTTTGAACAGAAGAATTCAAGCCATACATTTCCATGTCTTTCTTCTTTTCCACACACATGGGAACTCATTCACCCTCTGGTACCAACCACTGCCCTTTTCAGAGATGCTTTACAGTGGGTGTTGTGTGGAGGAAAACGTTAACATTGAGAATGTATCCAAAAAAAAAAGAATAGGAAGGTGTAGTTAAATATAAAATCTTTATATAGGGCAGCATAAAAACATTCAAAAATACATCAGCAAAAGTTGGGAACAAAGCTTTCCTACTTTGTGGACAGGCACAGCATAATTGTGGGTGCAGATGGATATGCATAAATGAAGGAAATCTGGAAAGAAATGTAAATGCTCCGAGTTTAAATATGAAATATTTATCACATTATCTAAAAAAAATTGAGGGACAACTTGCCAAAGTAAAAACCTTTTTTGCATCTATCAGAGAAGAAAACTGCAGCTGAATTATGCTGATGTATGAATGGCAGGACCAAGGAGAAGCGTGGTAGACCAGGTGGATGTGATTCCTGCATATCCTGTAATCCCCAGGGGTTACATCTCTGAAGTCATCATTTAAATTAAATTAAAGTTCTTACTTGGCATGGTTATGTTTGAGGCACTGTGCTGGGATCTGTTGCTTCAGACCAGTAAACATAATAAAAATGACACCTGTGGAATATGTAAGAACTAATGAAGTCTCATCATGTGTTTGCAGAAGGGTCACACTTCAAATCTATCTATGTATTTCCTCTTCTGTCATTTTCAGAAGGTTGTGAATATGGAGAGAGGGAAACCTTGAATTTTCAAGGTTTTGGTGAGATTGTTCACCAGGATCCTCAGAAAAAGCCACCCTAAGCTGTCATGGGATGAGAGGGCTCCTGTCCTGGATTAGTGGCTGCCTGTCTGTTTCACAACATCACAGAAGGCTCTCAGGGATTTTCTGGGATCCCCACTCCTGAAAACTGATCACGATCTGCAGAGGAGAGGAGGAAGGGCTGAGTTCTGAGCTTGGCTGTCCTTGTCACCAGAGGGGCTGCTGGAACTGGTGGAAGCCCTGAGCAGCTGCAGAGGGCTCTGGTGATCCTGGGTGGCTGGGCAGCACAGGGCAAAGGAAGCTGCCTCTAGCAGGGGTAAGATAATGCTCTTTCAGGTGGATTTATTCCTGCCCTGCACCGGGGCAGCTTGCAAAATGATCTGAAGTCATTGCAGATTGTGTAGAGATCAGGGCTCAGAAGTGGTCAAGAGGGGAAATAAAGGAAGGAAGTTTCACAAGGAGAACAAATCAGCCCCATTGTTGTGCTGCTGCTGGACCATGTGGTGAGAGCGTGTTCAGCAGGGGTGGCCGGCGTGCCTGCCTCGAGGGACGGTCACGCCCTGCTGATGGTGCTGGGAGGCTGACCAAGAGCATCTGGAGTGTGGAAAAGGTGCTGTGCAAGGAGTGTTGGAACAAGTGGGACAGAGCCTGGAAAAGCAGAGAGAGGAGGGGTTGTCTGTGCCCTGTGTGCAGCTGCAGAGTTCATTGCCTCAAGCTGTTAGGGATATGTGGGTGGTTTCAAGAGCCAATTAAACAAATGTGCAGAGGATGGGCATTGGTACAGCTGATGACACAACTTTGGGGAAGCTGTGTGCATTTCCTGGAAGAAACATATTCATACCTTTGTCCATGTTCCTGTGGTTTGCCTGTGTACCGGCTGTTGGGCGCAACAGGAGACAGGTATGGGCTCTTTGAGATGAGGATTAGCATTTTAATGCATTTAAATGCATTGTTAGCATTTTTAGGGTAAATCTGCTGTGGGATGTGGAAATCAGGACTTTTGGATGTGCTCTGCTGTGGCATTGCTGGCTGCAGCTCCCTGGGCAGACAGCAGCCTCTGGGACACCAGAGGAGTAGGATTTTCACACTCTTGTGTACTTTGCTGGTTTAAGATCTGAGACCACTGAGGTAATTGGACAATAAAGGTTAAGTATTAGAATGTGTGTACAGAATGTGACTGCCTTGAAGATATCATGTCCCTCACTTGTTCTCTGCACAGGATTAACTTATCCACAGAGGACTTGCTGTGTGGGCTTAACATGCCAGCCAGTGCTGTACTCTACAGCTGTGTCAGGTTCTGCGTTTCAAGGAGGCAGCTATTTGTTTGATATGTTTTATTTGTATTTTTCTAGGTTTGGGGGATTTTTTTTTTGTCCTTTCTTTCTTCATACTCATAGCTGTCACCTTGTATTTTGTGTATGTGGCAAGCTTCCAACACCGTTGGAAAAGTACCTTTGTACTGACCACTGCCAGACAGAAGTGCACACAAGCAGCCACTTGTGGGCTATCCTACTTTGCCAGGAAGAGCAGATTCTTCTCTTCTCCACAACAGAGATTTGGTGAAAGAATGCTTGAGAGGGACCCCATCTTAGGGCACTGCTTGTGCAAATAAAATAAAATAAAATCCTATCATGTGAAGTAGTAGTAATAATTAAGCTGAATTGCAAAGTATCCATGGGGAACAGAAGGTATCTTGAAATGTTGTGGCTCTGCTAAAACATGTTTGCAGAGCCTACTTTGCCAGCTTAAAAATCAAAGCAGACTAACTGTTCACATTGCAGCAGCGTGTACAGTCAAAGGTGGGGATAATTTGTGCAGAAGATGAGTTCTCCAGGTGCCCTTGAGTGGCCTGGAAAGGAGAGGAGGTGTTGTGACTTGCTGGGCATCCTGAGTGGTGCACCACCACAAGGAGTGTCTCAGCAGGAACTTGCAGAGAGCTGTTTCACTGTAATGAACCTGCCACCCCTCTAGATGATTCAAGTGTGAGAAGCAAAAGCGGATGGTTACTGAGATGTGCCTTCTGTCACCTCCACCTGGAAACCCCTCAGAAGTTTTTGAAGTCAGGGCAGAGTCCTTCAGGGCCTGGAGCAAGGAGCTCTGCTCTGCAGGGTGGAAGGCTGCTGGGCACCCCCAGCAGTGCTGAGGCTCTGTCCCCCCTGCACAGAAGGTCTTAGTTGGGTTTTCTGGAAGCCAGATCCTTGCCTCTTGTAAAGGCATTCAGCATGGACAAAGTCAGGCTGGGGGCTGTGTGGTGCCCAGAGGGAGGTGTCTCAGTTCGGCACTAAGCTGACACAGGACAGCTCTGCTTTGGTGTTCCTCTGGATTTGGAAAGCATTGCTGTGTGTGTGGTTTGCCAGCAGAGCCCTGACAGTGTGGAGGCTGACTCAGCACAGCTTTCCCCATCAGCACATGGCTTTACAGTCAGCTGCCTTCACATGGTGCTTTTTGCTCTCCCTGGCACGGGGCAGGCCCCGAGTGCATTGTCCCTGTGGGTCCCAGATGCAGAGGGGATGGCAGGAGGGAACCTTACTCCTCACAGAACAGAGCACAGGGGTGCCCTGCATCCCCTCTGGTGCCCCACCTCTGATGCCAGACTGCTCTACCTCTCCTGGTTCAAAAAGACTTCAGGGTGCCCTTCTAGTGCATTTGTACTTAAGGAAATGAAAATATATACAGTCTGTCAAGGCAGAGCAAATAACTTCAATAAAAGCTGGAGCTACTTGTGTTTCTTGGATCTTTTTGTTGCTGTTGTTTAAGAACTGGAACACAGCAATATTTGCTTTTTCATTGTGGAGTTCTCTGTAAAAAAAAAATAAAAATTTGTTCCTTAATAAAGTTAAAATATAAGTTTTCAGCATTAGGATGCTTTAATAATTTAGTATTTAGTCTCGTAAAGAATAACGTTTGTAATTTAGCTCATGTGGCATTGTATTGACTCAGACTTCCTGTAAAAGCAAGCTACTTTCTTGATTTCTCAGCTAATACTGTCAAATCTCCCTTTCTCTTGCTGCATTTCCTTGTCAGAGTGTAACTGTAAAGTCTAAAACACATGTATCTATTTTGTGAAGATTTATGGATTAAGATACATTTTTTTAATCAGCTTTCCATGTGTCTTGTTCCAAAAGAGCAGGGAGTCTTCTCTGCAGGAGTGCCTGAATTACTCAAAGATAGGCAGTAAGAGAGCTCCCTGGGGAAAGTTAGCTTTTTCTTTCTTTTTCCCTTTTCAGTGTGTGAACCACCAGCATGAGGTTATTTCCTTCACTGTATTTTGGGTGTATCTGGTGCTCAGTGTGGATCTGGTTGCTCTGGTGGACCCAGAGAGCAGGCAGCCTGTGAGTCTGTTCTAGCTGGGAGCAGATTTCAGATAAAGAAGAAAGATGTCCATTTCGAGTGGGCATTTAGACATTTGAAATGCTTATGTGGTGTTAATGTGTTTGCTGCTGTCCTTCCAGGCCTTGGTAACAGCTTCTTTGGGACCACAGGGTTTATCTGAGGCAATACTTGCTCATCTCTAGAATTTTCTAGAATCTCAAGGTTTTTCCTTAATATGTTTTCTTTTTTCCTCTTCTTTTTTGCAGGTATTTCTTGAACTCTTCAGCACATCACAGAACTGTTGTTTTGGGATATCCTGCTTAAGCCCTCGGAGGAAAATCTGCCAACAGCCAAAAATGACTTGAGTTGGAGAGCTGCTGCTTTATCCACAGGTAGTGTTTGCAGCTCAGTAAGCTCTCAGCAGTCCAGCATTGCAGGGCTTGCTCTCAGCAGGTTACTCAGGGAGGAAGTTGCTGCTGGTGCCTCTCTGGGAATGGCAGTGATCTGCATGTGGGAGTCTCCTGAGGACACCTGGAGTCTCCATACTGTTCCCATGCTTTTGGACACATCTGGGGCAGCCATGTAGGGAAATGAGCAGCTGCCATCCTGTCTTTTGTGGTCCTGTGTGCTGCTTGTGAGAGGTTTATGCATCAGTGTGTATTTTATACACCAGCCCCCCTTCCCCATAAATCAGCCTAGTTTGAGCTGCTTTTTGGGCAGTCATCATACTGGATTCCCACTGTTATGACTTGGTGGGAGCTGGAGGTATCTGCTAGTGTGAGGCAGTGCATACGAGGGCAGGCAGTGCTGTACAACAGCATCTGGCTTTGCTTTCTCCAGAGGTAACTTACCTGGAGTAATGTTCATCCAGTGAGCCCCAACATGCCCCAGACCCTACTGGGGCTTGAGTGGCTTCCAGCAGGTGTTCAGTGAGGTTTGATGTTGAGACTGCACTTGGCCCACTGCAGACTTGCAGCAGTTCCCTGGAAAGTCACCAAAGTACCAGGCTGGTGAAGCTCCTGGTGCCCATGAACTTAGAGCTTTTTTTTTTCTTTCCAGTTCTGTGCTTTATAATGTTCTTCATCGATGTTAAAGCCTGTGGTCAAGTAAAAACTCATTTCTGGAAGTGCATTTTTTGGCATTTGGATGTTGACTGTCAGGGATGGAGATGAAGCAAAGCAGTGTGGAGACTTACCCTGCTTGCTGGTATGATACTGGCAGTGTTAAATTTGGCTGTCACTTGTGGAAGGGAGTAGAAAAAACATTTGAGTGGCAGTGGCCTCAGGTCACCATTACATAGCATGTGATGGCTGATAGCCAGCTCAGGTCTTTCGGTTTGGTGTTTGAGGTGGTAGACTTTGAAATGAGATCTTTGAACAGCCTGAAATTTTAGAATTACCCTGATGTTGTCTCTCTCCCCTCCCACTGCACATAGATCTCCATGATTTTACCTGTGCCTGCAGCCTGACTGAGCTGTTTCCTTTTCCCAGGGCAAGCTTCCAGTGTCCCATCTGGGGATGCACCGTGCACTATGGTTCACATCAATGTGTTGAAAAAGTTCATGTGTGTTCTTGTGGTGGTACTGGTAGCACTGACAGTTTGCCTGTGGAGAGAAACCAGAAGAAGCTACTATGATCCTTTGAAGACCAGGAATGATGATTTGCAGGGGCATAGGAGCTTGGAGAAATGGAACACTGTTAAATCACAAGGCCTTTTCCATGAAGCAGCCAGTGAACTGGGGCAGGTATCCAAAATGTGGCTTGGTCCCCAAAACAAAGTAAAAGGTAGCACGTCTGAAACAGCTGAAAAGTCCAAGAAAGCAGCCTTTGGGAAGGTATGGGATAAGGACAGCTCATCCAGAAATCTCATACCCAGGCTGCAGAAGGTCAGGAAAAACTACCTGGCCATGAACAAGTACAATGTGACTTACAACGGGAAGAGGAATGCTAAGCTCAGCCCAGAGAAGTTGCTGTGCCAGCTGCGGGACAGAGTCAATGTGACCATGATCCAGAGGTCGGATGGTCCTTTCCGTACCTCTGAGTGGCAGCAGTACTTGCCAGGGAAAAGCCTCAGTGAAGCAGTGGGACACCTGGGTCGCTGTGCTGTCGTGTCCTCAGCAGGGTCTCTGAAATCATCTCGCTTGGGACAAGAGATAGGTTGGTATTTTTCAGTTTGCATGAAGTTAAATATCACTGTTTATAACTTGGGCTGAGTAGAAGTCAGTATTGCTGTCAAGCAATTACTGATAAGTCTCTTGTGGTCAAAAGGGTTAAAACAAGTGGAAATGTTAACCTTCTAAAGTCAGTAAATATTTCAGCCTAGCTGGAGGTGGGAGTAATAGGTAACTGTATTCTAGCAAGTCCTTTTGATTTTTGTGATCCTTTTGGCATCACTGGAGGGTCACACAAATATTGGATACCAGAAAGCAGTCTTGGTTCCTCAGGTGTTTGTTTCTTGAGAGGGCTTGGGGTGGGTTGTGTAATGCTTATTGCGCAGTCAGAAAAAATTTCACACTGGAAGATATTTTCAGAGAAGAAATTAAAGAAAATGGTAAAGGGGAAAAACCCTTCTGGACATAGCCCTGGGCAGTCTGTGTTGAGCTGAGGGCTGGGCACAGACAATCTTCAGAGGTCCCTTCCAGCTTCAGTGATGCTGCAATTTTTGCTCAAGGCTTTCCAAAAGTGGTACTACTTCATTCTGAGCCATAAGGCAGCTGGCTGAATTTGAGTGGCCCAGAAGACCATCAAAAGGCTTTACAGGGATTTAACTCTTTGGATGAAGTTTGGTGATGCTTTGCAGTCTTATCTAACCATATTTACCTGAAGTTAATGCATTAATTAATAACTGCCAAAGCTTTGGTCTTTTACTGTGAATTATAAAGAAGCATGTTTTGATGTCAAAGCATTTTGTGTCTTTACAAAAGCAGCATGCTAGGGAAACCAACTCTTCAGTCTTCAACTCAGGATTTTGTACCAGGCAGAAAATTCTTCAGAGCCTGCAACTCCCTCAGCTTGCTTCATTTTTTGGTGTATGGAGCTCAGTTAAGGTTCATGCTCTGTTGAACTGTAGCTTCACTGAAGGAGAAGTTTTAAAGTCTGGGAGTTTTCTGTCAAGTGGAAATTGTTTGCAGGATTTGGTTTTGTTCATAAGTAGTCTCTTGGATCAGGTCCCTTTGGCCTGCACTAAGCTGTAAGAAGCCTTCATCTTTTGAAACAGATAGATGGATAGATTTTAATATGTCATTCATGGATAACTTTGGCAAAGCCTTCAGAATCATAGTCCCTTGTGGGAGACTCTGTTGAGTTCTGGTACTTGCTCAGAAGTTCTCCCCGAGACTCCTCTGTGTCCATGGGCAGGTGAGCAGGAGCTAGAGTGAGGTTGATCAGTTGGAAATGTGTTAAAATGCTATGAAATATGCATTGAAGAACAGCATTGCCTCCTGGTAAAAATTGCAGGGGAGAGTTGGTTGATATAATTGTTTCTGTCTCTTAGGAGTGTTTGAAGTGAGATGGGTCAAGACTTGGGAAAGCAGTTCTTCCTTTTCAAGTACCTGTCTCAGGTTGTTTGGGTGCCTCTTGGAGTTCAGAGCTAAAGGTTCGCACAGAAGTGACCTTCTGTTGAACAGCCTCCCCAGCTCAGCTGGCTTGTGCCCAGGGCTGTCTGTGTTAGGCTCCAGCATTACTGCCAGTGCTTGTTGCTCTGGAAGGAGACCCTCACAGGAGTGGGAGGTGATGTTCTGGAGTGTTGGAATGCAGTCCCTGCACCTCTGCATTGGCTATGGGAGCAGCCAAGTGGGGTGGGCTGTGCTTTGGCTCCAGCACAGATGTCAGACAGGCAAAGCCCTTTCATTGTTCCCACAGCCACTCTCTGAGCCCTCCCCACACTGAAGCACTGGTTTGTTCCAGATCACAAGGGATGGATGCTGGGGAGGTCACTGTATAGTGTGCCTGAGTCAAATGCCATTAACCCCTGCTGGTGTCCTTGCCCTGTGTTTCTTGTGTCTGGGTCACAAGCTTTCACCCTTCTGCTCAAGCACTTAACTCTGCTAGTGCTTCTGCAGAGTTTGAGCGCTTGCAGCCTTGAGCTAGGCAGAGGAAGTATTAAGGATTCAGGAGCAACCAGTGTATTTCTGTACTGTTTTCCTCACTTTTGCCATGTAGGAAATGTTGTGGTGTTGTTGGAGGAAGTTGTCACAAAGGTACTAAATCTTACAAGCTTAAAATTAAATATTTGTGTTAATGAGCACAGTGGATTGCTGAGTTGTTACTCCGTGAAATATTTGTTCTATGTAATCATGTTAAGATATCAAATTAGCAATTAGATAAAGTAAGGGAGGCTGGCAGAGCAGCACAGGGTTGTAAACGACCTTTTACTGGGCTCTTGGTATTACTGAAGGTTATAAATTGCCACTGAAAAATCTGATATGAGAGATACCCAGTGTAGCACAACCACCTGGGGACAGAGAGTCAGCTACTCTGCCTGAGCAGTCACTAAACACCCTTTTAATGTGCAAACTTGGGGCCTAGGAATGCTTGGTGTCTGGCTGAAGTTACAGATGGGGAAATCATAACCCTGTATTGCGTTAGTTCAAGGCAGGATGTGGAGCTAAGGGTCTGCAGTGGAAAGCACAGAGCCACTTCTCAGCATGGAGACACTTTTCCAGAAAATCACCTTCCTTGGTTTTGGATGGTGCTTTGGAAGGGCTCTTAAGAAGCCCCACTTGTCCAGGAGAAATAAAATTGAGAAATCAGTCTTTGCTGCCAGGGATTACTGATCCTCCAGCATTGCCTGTTAGAACACTCCCATTTTCAAGAAAATTATCTCAAAAAGACCCAGTTCTGGACCAGGTGGGTCCTTCTGCCCTAGAACTTGGCAGTTCCCACAGACCCTGACTGCACATGCTGTGTGTTGCAGTCCTGTGGCCTCAGTGTGAATGCAGGAAAGATTGCCCTGCTTCCTTAGCTCAGCCCCTCTGCTCACAGGGAACATTTCCTACCCAACTGGAGCCACAAGGCAGAGAGGAGCCAGGCTGACAAGCACAACCTCCCTTCATGTCACAGCAGCAGCAGGACTCTAGGATGTTATAGTGGCCTGGCTGGCTGCGCCGAGGCAGAGGAGGGTGCTGGAGGAGTGCTGTGCTATCTTAAGAGATGATGCCAGCAGAGGAAAATGCAGTGAATGCCAAGGCATGTAAGAAGCTATGTCTGTTGAAGGCACAGCAGTGGGTTTATTTCTGTGGGAGGCATGCTGGCAGGCTGAGGTTAGCTTGGCTTTCCACTGTGGTTGGTTTACATGTTTCTGGAGCTGGTCAACCTCCAGGCTGGAAGAGAGGATGCCGGCTTGCTACTGCTTCCTAGTTTCTTGGTTTGAAGCTAGCCATATGGTAAATTAATTATTGGTCTATCTCCTGGTAAAGTGTTTGGAAGGAGGAAGAGGGAGAGCAAATGGCTACGGTTGTGCTCTCAACCTGGCAGTTGGTTGTAGTTTTAGAGAGTAGAGTGTATTGGTCATAAAGTTGGAGCCACACCTTCCCCCAAAGAATCTGACTTGCTACTTCTAATGTTACGTTGAAAGCCAGGGATTAACGAGATGGTATTAGGAGTGCAGGTGAATAATGTCACTTGTTTGTGTTATCACTCAAACCCAGTTGTTGGCTCACAGGTTTTCCCTCTGTTTGGCTTTCAGACAGCCACGACGCCGTCCTGCGGTTCAATGGGGCTCCTGTCAGGGGCTTTCAAGATGATGTGGGGCAGAAGACAACAATTCGTCTTGTGAATTCCCAGGTAGGTCTGAGGAGTGTGCACCAAGCAGGCCAAGTATGGCACAGCTGTGTAGCTGCATGGTCTGGGAGCTGGGAAGAACAGGGCTGTCCATCTGATTTCTCCAGTCCCTAGCACATGGCTGTAGGATGGGGATGTCTCTCCTTGGAATGGGGACAGTTGGTAAATCTGAGGTGACTAAAGTGGCATTGGCATGCACTTGCAAACTTGCAGAAGCCTGCTTGTGATTTACAGCAGGCACAAAGCAATCTGTGTTTTGTCTTTGCTCAAAGGCTCTGTGTAGGCACAGGAAGACCAATCCATGCTGGTTGTGGTCCCTTGGGGTGAGAGGCAGGAACAGCACCACAGTTCAGCCAGTGCAGGTCAGTGAGGAGGGGTGTGCCAAGGAATGACTTGTGCCTGCCCTAGAGATGGATATGAAGAATGTTTATATGGCTTTGAATAAAAGAACAGTCTTTCTTTACTGCCCAGCAAGGCTGCAGACTCTGCAGGTTACCACATTAACCAGGGCTGCTACATGGCTGAAGACACTTGACAAAAGACCCACCTGTAAAGCTGTAGCCTGTGCACAGCCAGGAGAGGGATGGGCTCTGGTGGGTCCAGGACCTCATTGCAGAGCATGGCAAAAAGTGCCTTTAATGCAAGGCCTTGCTCACAGAGTTAAATCTTCCCTGCCTCTGAGAGCTCCATGTAAGTACCAAGGTGTCCCTTTGCTGATTCCCTTTGGCCAAACTCTCCAGGGTTAGAGCCATGTACCACAGTGCATTAGCAGAGTCAGTCTGCCACCTGTCCAGCAGCACAGTGAGACTCTTTCTCTTGTAGGCACATCTCAGAGTGTTTGCACCTTTCCTCCATAGACCTGTTACCCTTCATGGTTATTCTTTCTGGGGGGAGGAATCTTCAAGTGTAGACATGCAGACAAAAGGGGAAATCTCAGTAGAATGTGCTGGTGAGAGAACGGAGGAGGACTGAATGGGTCAGGAGACATTTGATTAACAGACCTGGTGCAGCACTGAGTTCAAGCATCTCCTCACCCCACAAGAGGAGAAAGAGGTTGTAGGCACATGAAGGCTGAGGAACTGAGTGAGAGACAGATGAGTGGCTGAAGTGTAGCTTTTGTAAGCCTGAACCAAAAAGGCAGTTTCTTTTCCTTACCCCAAAATTAAGATTTGTAGGCCAGGAGTTTTCTCACCTGCCCCTGTATGAGGAGAGTGTGGATGCTGCTGTGTAACCAGGTTTGTAGTTTCTCAAAACAGCAGCAGGAGGTTGACCATCCTCTTCAAAGGCAAGAAGACAGAGCTAATATGTAACCAGTTTGCCAACTTCATTTTGTGTGTCTTTTAATGGATATTCTTGCTTCTTGTGTGAATGCTGTTGCTGCCTCTTTCAGCTCTTGGGTCACTCTCCACTTGCTGCCATGCTCTTTGCTGTTGCTTGCTGCATCTTGTTCCCCTGCATTAAGCCCCCAGTCAGAAGTGTGACAGTTTGTCCTTTCTGAGCCAGTCTGGTTTGAGCAGACAGATCTGACTGCTGCCTTCTGTGCCCTGTTTGACATTTTTCTTTTTTTTTAATCTTTCCTGTCTCTGTGTATTTTTCTGATGTCAGATAGGTGTTATCACTTAAGCAAACTTTCTCTGGAGGATGTGCTCATGGCCAAGCTTACAGTGATATTAAGAGAAAATATGTGCATGACCTATGTGCTATCAGTGTTATCTGCTCAGGGAGGAGGGTAACTGTGTGGTTGTACAGCTGTGATGTGACTCTCCATGTGGATTCTCCTGCTTTGGACCACGTGGAGTTACAGCCATGTCATTATAGTGCTTCTGTTCTCCATGCAGATCAGCCTGCAGTCATGGGTGATGTTCCCTCTGAAAGGAGACCCCAGCTTAGGAAACTTCAGTTACAGGGAGAGCAATATTGCTGCAGTTTTTAGAGGCTGAAGTTGACTCAGAAGGCAGCGTTGATCTGGCTGCTGACCAGGGAAAAAGATGTTTTCCATATGTATAGTGCAGGAGTCTCTCATCTGGGGTTTCTAAACTGAGCATCTCTGACTGCAGTTTGTTAACTTCAGAGACCATTGGATTGGAAGCCTGGTTTTCTTACATGTTTTTATTTGCACTTGAATGGTTCAGTGCTGTTTTCAGTCTTGGTGACATCAATTAAACCTTCTTGTTAGTGGGGTGGCCTGATCACGTTCTCCTTTTAGCTCGCTGCAGGAGCTGTGCCTTATCTGGCCTTGCCCAGAGCTCTTACAGGCATCAGGTACTGGACAAGCTGTAATTTGTTCTTGTTCTGGGCTGGCTTTTCTTGTGTTATAACTGGGAAAAGGAATGGGTTTGGGGATTGGCTGCTTTTATTTTGGCTCTTACTGCTGATCAACCTCAGTCTGCTGCCAAAGTGAAGGAAATGGGATCTCCTGAATCTGATCTGTCAAAGCTGGTCTGTATTGAGTAATATCTCTGTGGCACACATGGCCAGTGGCCCTGAGTTTCTTAATAATTGTTTTAAGATACTTTTCTGTAATTTTCTGGCCAGTCTCTAGGACATACATGGGGGCAGATGTTTTTAACAGTAGAGTGGAGTATCTTGTACATCTGTGTGCATGGAGAAAGATTAATGGATTGGTACTGACAACAAGGCAAGAAATTCGGGATCTCTGGATCTGAGGATATGCTTGTAGGCCCACAAGCTTTGTAGTCGTTCTAAATAAAGAATTTATTTAATGTTGCCTCATTTATTTTCTCAGGCCTTGACTGGTTCATCAGTATTGCTGCTTTTTTAATGGCATGTTTTCCTGCAGTCTGACACAAGGCATTGATTTGCCCTGGGAAAGCTGTCACATCTTGTAAAAACAAGGGCAGAAGTACAGGTGAGGGTGTGCCAATGTCATGGTGGAGGACACAGCTCCTTTCTGCACAGCTGACCAAGGGCCAGAGTACCTTGTTCTTCCCAACCCTTGTTTCCAGTTCTCCTGGGCTGGCTTCTTGCTGTCACAGGGAACGCTCTCTGCTCTGGCTGCCTTTGCTGTTATTGGCACTAACAGTCTGCAGGGAGGAAGAGAAAGGAGATAGCACATCAGTGGAATGGAGGAAGGCTGTGGTGGGAAAGGAGAGCATGTTTAGATTGCGGGACATTGACTGCTGGTAGCAGGAAAGAAGGAAATCATTGTGATATGGCCAATAAATGTACTAAGAGGATAGGGACTGTATTAACAGGATACTGTTACACAGTGAACTGGCTAAAGAAGAAATCAGAAAACCAACAGATCACTTAACTAATTAGGATCAAAAATCTGGGCAAGACAAGTCAGTCATGTAGTAATTTAAATGAATTTTACTTAGAAAGAATCAGTTGCTATTAAAAAACAAATGGACACTGAGGGTAAACGGGGAGCCAGATTCTTTCAGCAGACAGGGTAAGTGACTGATAGCTAGCAGGCAGTGCCCACAGCCAGCTCCAGTGTGTGGGAGGACACACTGGAGCTGTGGAGGTGCTCCCCACCTGGTTTCCTGTCCCTTTGCTTTTGTGCCTGTCACAGCTCTCTCGGGGTTTGTGTGCTTCTGCCAGCTGGCATGGCTATGGAAACAACGACATGAAAATAAAGTGCATGTGCCCCTCGAACATCCCTGCTCCTTTGCAGTGCTCCATCCCACCTGTGCCCAGCTGAGGGGATGGCTGGTGCCAGCTGCTGTGCCCCTTTTTGCCCCTGGTGTCCACAGGGTGCAGGCAGATACTCACACCTGCAGCACTGCACACTCCAGCTGTCAGTGACCTAGATATTTTAGCTACTGTAAGGAAATTAAACCAGGCAGTGCATGTGGTCAAGGCCAAGGCCTAATCCCATGGAGTTAAGAACAGATGTGAGGAAACTTTTTGCTTTTGGAATAATTCCCATCTGGGCTGCCTGCAGCATCCTTGTACTCTGGTTATTTGGGACAGCCATGCAGGCAGCCAGCTCCTGAGACAGCCAGGATGCTTGAGGACTAATTGGCTAGATCATAATTAGATCTGTGGAGAAAATGAGGACAAATGGGAGCTGATTGTTATGATTTATGATTACAATGTTTACGAGCTGTGTCTGTACAGGTTATGGCTTTGGGTGAGTGGGGAGGACAGAAGATAAATTGTTTGATTAGGATTGTTTTCTTTCTGCTGCAAACCTGGGTTACCCTTGGGTGTCCCAAGCAGTGGTGGTTATGTCCACAGTATGGAGAGAACTCTGTTTGAAGCTTTCCTTCTCATTGCTGCTCTCAGGAGATTCCAACCTCCTCTCCCTGCCCTACAGAGGTGATGGAGGGGCTTGGCACAAGGCAGGATTGGCTGGGGATGCTGTAGTCTCTTGCACTGGTGGTCTCAGCAGGCTGAGCACTGGCTGCCTGGGATCCTGTTGCTGAGGAGAAACCCACCTGCAGGCCTTTTTTTGGGGGGTTAAATGAAGGTTCTCAATAGATCCAGCAGTGTATTTGCATTAGGCTCTGCCTGGACTGTCCTGGTGACTGCTGGCAGCAGCTGCTGTTCCTCCTGCTTCTGCTGTCGTAGTGCTGGGATCCTCACACAGGCTGGGTCACTCTGCAGCTGCTGTCCTTAGTGTGTTACTGGAGATGGATGGAAAACCTTGGAAAGCATTATGGCAGCTTCTGTTCTGACTCTCCACAAAGTCCTTTGCTGCTAGGCAGGACTGGCTTGGGTTGGAAGGGCATTGCTGGGGCTGTGTCCTTGCTGCACACAGTGGGCCGTGCTCAGTAACCAGCAGTGGGAGGGTCTGGCCATTTTCAGGTGTGTTTTATTGCTTGGCTGCCTGCTAATTCTGATAATATACTGCATATCATTGTATAATATTGTTTTGTTAGAACTATCTATTGTTGTTTTCCAAGCTTGTAACTGTTGAAGAGCAGCAGTTCCTGAGGGAACCTTTATATAACACTGGAATTTTAATTGTCTGGGATCCAGCACCATATCATGCAGAAATTCATGAGGTAAGGCTGAGTTGTTTTAAAATAAAATCAGATTCACGTGCTTTGAAGTGCCTTCTGTTAAACCACTTCCTCCTAATGTGGGCAATCACTCATTCCAAGGCCTTACTTGTCTGCCTTTTTGTTTTATGGATATATCTGTGCATACTTCTGTGAGTATCCCATGCATGAGTTCTCCTAAGAAAACACTTGCCTGCTTCTGTGAAGGACCTCAGGCCACGAATAATGGGTCACTACCTGTACTTTCCCATGGGCTGATGGCACAGGGAGGAGGACACTGCTGGATGCAGCAGTTGTCTCATTATAGGATGATTTCCTCTCTCTGACAGTTAATCTAAGATTCGCTTGGATATTTCAAGCAGCAGTCAGCCATGGGATAAACTTGATGCATTATGAATTGATTGGGAAACCCTCTGAAGGTCTGTGTCAGCTTTCATCTGTGGGCAATCCCCCTGGCAATTCACTTTTGATTTTGAGTACAAAAAAGTGTTGTTTGATATGTGATGAGCTCTGGAGGCTCACAGTGAAAGCAGGTAGGAGTGAATAGTCCATTCTTTACTTTTATTTTAAATTCTGGCTGTAACTGAGAGGTCTTTGCATTTCCTATTTTCTCACTGATATTTATTTCTGTTCCTGGTCCCACAGCTCCAGGAGGCATAAGGGGCTATGACATCATGTTTAAGAGTCAGTAAAACCAGGATGGGCTATTTATAACATAGGGAAAAAATCTCAAAATTACTTTAGGAAAACATAAACATTCCTAGTTTTTACTGAAAGGGGAAATTTAAGGATGCAAATCAGCTCAGCCTGGTTCAGGAGGCTGAGCTGGGAACCCTTACCTGCAGAATATGCTGCTTGGAATTACAGTGTGGAGAAGGATCTGGGTCTGGAACATTTAAGGCAGAGTTCTCAACATTGTTTGCTGTTGGGGAGTGCAAAATGAAATTACGAAATTGAATTACCATTCAGTGGTCCTTCATTGAGATTTGGGGTTTTCCTGCTCTGTTTACTGAGTCAGCTCACCACAGTGACCCAAGGGGACAGTGAGTGAGGAGTGAGTGAGGGTGTACAGCAGGATCTTCTTCCCCAGCAGCAGCAGGTTCACTCATTCTTGTTTCTTGTTGGTTACAGTAGAGTGGGCCAGAAATAAAGAATCTGTTTCTGTTTCTGTTTTGCAGTGGTACAGAAAACCAGATTACAACTTTTTTGAAAGCTATAAGGCGTATCGTAGAGCACATCCAGAGCAGCCCTTCTATATCCTGAATCCCAAAATGCAGTGGCAACTCTGGGACATTCTGCAGGAGAATTCCCTGGAGCATATTCAGCCTAATCCACCATCATCAGGAATGCTTGGTAAGATAATTGCCCTCTAAACTTCTGGTTCAGTTTGCAGGCAGGAACTCTCCAAGATGCCTTCTTTCAAAGACAGCTACAAATTTATGGTGCTTATCAGAGTTGTTTTTACAGTGTTTGTCCTGTGCCAAAATTTAAGCTTCCTGTCTTCAGAGCAGCAGCTCAGTTGTATTAAAGTCAGTGGTTTGCAGCACCCCTCTGAAACAGCAGTCACAAACATGGCCCAGTTCCAGGTGGAAACAGGAGAGCAGGCTGCAGCACTGGGATGGTCTCTAGATTTGTAGCTTCTAGTGCCAGAGCACTTCCCACAGGGTGCAAGAGGAAGGATGTGTCTCCTGCAAGCTCAGATCTGGTCAGGCAAATAAATCTGATTACTGTAAATGAATTCTAAGGGTGTGCCTGTTTCTTTTCCATATATTATTTATATATAAATATATGTGTGTGTATGTATATAAAGACTTACTGGGGTTCTGTGGAAAGTCAGACTGAATAGTTGCCCTGAAAAGGTCAGTGATATGCTCTCCTCAGCAAAGGAACTCCTTTTTACATTCTGCTGTTGCAAAAGTTTTCCTGCTTAGTGGAGAGCAGCTCTCATGACCAACTGAATAAAAAGGAGTGAACCTCTGGGGAAGCTTCCATGTATTTGAAATCACAGCACAGAGGCAGAGTCTTGTTTGCCACAGACTGTCCAACTGCTGTGCTTCCACCCCTTTATCTTCTCCCACCTCTGTTCATCACTGCTGGGGCAGAGGCACTTTCTGTCTCTGTGTAAACAGAGTTGCTTCATGTTTTTGCCAGGCCCAGCACCTACTAAATCATTGCATCATTGCTTGGATATGTGTAGAGCAGCTGTGTAACAGCACAGTCAATGACTTCAGCAGCAGAATTGCTAACTGGAGTTATGGGCTTGAAGACACGTCAAACAGCAGTTCCTCCAGGGCTTAACTTTGGGCCAAGTCTTCTTGCTTTTTGTTTTGTAAAACAAATCACCTTGCCAAATTCAAGGGCATAGATGAGTTCCAGTTTCCACCTCTGTGTTCCCTGGAAGTCCTGTGTGTGATAGAAAATTTTTATTTGAAAAGGTGGATGAAGACATGTTTAAAATATACTTTAGGTTCTTTTAATGTTTTACAGTTCCTCATGATCCCTGCTGTCTCAGACACTGCGTGAATTTTCTGTGATGTTGCACACTGATTCAGTTTCTCTATTCTTGTTATTTCTTGCACTTAGAAGAAAAGTAGCTGGTAACTATGGCTTCCATCTGACCCGGCTGTGCCCAGCACTGCCTGGTGTGATGTCCTCGGGTGAGAAGACACAGGAGGGCAGCACTGCTCTGCTCCGGGGAGCCTGAAGAGCAGAGGCTGCTCAGTCTCCCTGAGCATCTCCCAGCACAGGCCCTTCCATGTTCCCTGCACTCACAAGAGGCAGCTGGGACAAATGTGAAGGTCTCATCTCTGCTTATCCAGGCAGGTTTGAGATGGGCTGTTCGGATCAGCTAATTGCAGTGCACGCTTGGCAGACACCCAAGTTTCCATGAAGGTCACAGATAATGGTAGCACTCTTAAAAATTGTCCTTTTGGCACGGCTATCAGTGTAAACAACTTGCTGAAATCACGTTGATCATACACTTGGCAAGGGAGGGCTTCAAAAGAGAGCCTTGTCTGGCCAGACTTGTTCTCTGCCCCTCTGCTCTGAACATTAATAACAGAAACCGCTCCTTGCTGGCTGCCTGTCCCTCTGGAATGTTTAATGCTGTCTCTGGTGTGACTGGGATGTCTGCTCTCTGTCCCCCCGCAGGCATCGTGCTCATGATGACGCTGTGTGACCAAGTGGACGTGTACGAATTCCTCCCTTCCAAGCGGCAGACAGACATCTGTCACTATTACCAGAAGTTCCACGACCACGCCTGCACCATGGGAGCTTACCACCCCCTCCTGTTTGAGAAGAACTTGGTGAAGCACATGAACCAGGGCACGGATGAGGACATCTACACTCACGGCAAAGTCACCCTGCCTGGCTTCCGAAAAGTGCATTGCTGACAGATTGGTTTTACTGTGTTTAGTTTTCCTTGACTTTCAAAGCACTTTCTAAATCAGGGTTGTCAGATTTGTTAGGTCTAAGCACTGGTGTGTTTTGACAGCTCTTCCATGTAGCAAGGCTTGCTCTTAGGACTTTGTTGACCAACTGTGAGCTGTAAGGCTCACTGTGGTACAGCCACTGACCTGCATGAGTCACTGCAATAAATGGACTCCCACTGGAGCCAGGCTCTTGCAGCACGTGGATACCTCTGGCTTCATCTCATCTGATGACGGGTTAGGGGAGGCACAGGAGAGGCTTTCTAAGCAGAGATTGCACAAGTCGGGATCGTACAATGAACATAGTTTGGTTTGCTTCAAAGGGGTTGTGACAGCCAAAACCCTGGGCCATTGGGAAACATGAAAAATCGTTTAAAATTTGTTCCTATAGTCAGGGGCTCTTCAGAGTAGGGATGATTTATGGAAATGCTGTCAGGCTGTGTAATGATAAGCGACACATCTAATCCAAAATATTTGATTTTATAAACAGTCTGTGAACTTCCAAATTGTAAGACTTCTGGAACCACTCAGGTGACATTTTTGGCAAAGGAAGAGGAAAGCAATTCATAATTCAGTGAATCTTGCAAGAGTTTTTAATCTTCTTTTTTTTTAATAATTTAAAATAAATTTTAGCAATCATTTACTTTTCCAGTACAGTGCTGGGCTTGGTACAGAAGAATCGTTATTATCGGAAAGGTTTTGGCACAAATGGGAGAACACACTGGAAGTCGGTGCCTTTTTCCATCTCTCTGCTCCTCTACCTTTGCAATTGTTGAATTACTTGCTGTACCCATTGACACAAACACCACAGAGCTGCTGCTAGATGAGTTCCAGCCCTCTGCAGGCCAACAGAGGGGCTCTCTCAACTGCTGTGTGCTTTTCTGCATAGGTGGGGAGCAGGTTTGCCACTTCCATGATTCAGGAGTGATGGGGAGGGAGAGCGTGCTCTACAGTCTCAGGGTGTTGGTGAAAACACCTTCCCTGTCTTCTGTACTCGAGTGTTTCATCAGGTCTGTAAAGAAAGCTTTCTCCTGTTTTGAATAAATCCTGTGAAGTCATTGGCCTGCTTTTGGTGAGTGGTAAATGTCTTGTCCCATGGTCCTGGGGATTTGTAGCAGCCTTGTGCCACTGCAGGCACAGCTGCTCCCTGCTTGTTCAGAGAGCCCTCAGCTTGTGAGGGCTGCCTTTCTGCACACTCATCTCTTGGGATGGATTGGATGTGTCAGTGTTCACAAATTTCATACAGGTAGGAAGGTCCAGGTCCTTGCACCCCTGCTCAGGAGCCTCACATTCCACTAGGACAGGAGTGCAAGGAGGGCAGCTTGGAAAGCATTCCTTTTCACTGCCAGGGAAGGAGGGAGCTTACAGAGGAAAAGCCATGAGGAGCTGCTTAGGAGAGCCACAGTAATCCTCTCCCCATCTCCACTCTTGGAGATAGCCCTGGCTAAATCCTGTGGTAACCCTCTTTATAAGCCAGTGGTAACCCTCTTTTTTGCCCCCTTTTTTTGTTTGCCTAGATCAAAATCTAGTATAAAGTGCAAGTGATGACAAATAGCCTTGGCTTTGATAGCCCTACCTCTCTGTTCCTTGGATGAAGGAGCTATCTGCTACAGCAATTTGCCTTCTTATTATGTGTTTAGTTGAGATTCCAATAGCTTCTGACTTTTTTCCTAGGCTGTTTCATCTGTTAATTCCCACAACATTATTTTCCACCAATTCCCCCACTGTGGAGACCAGCCCAGCCACCCTCCCTGGAATGGATGGAAGCACAGTCTGCTCACCTGGGCTCCCAAACCCACCTGCTCCCCTGCAGGGCTCCTACAAGGAGACAAAATGTCCAACAGATTCCCCAGATCTCTCAGAACCCTTGGTTACTTAGGTGCAATAGTCTTGCACACAGCGTGGAATTTCAAATGTTATGCTAACAGTTTTAGCTACATCCAACATGTGATTCATTTACAGTCTAAACAGAGTTTAACAGAATTGTGACAGAGCTTAAAATAAGCCAGTGGTAACCCTCTTTTGTTTCTCCTTTTTTTGTTTGCCTAGATCAAAATCTAGTATAAAGTGCAAGTGATGACAAATCTGGTATTTAGAAGAGCCAGGTGTAAGTTAGTGGGCAGTAATAGCTAGATTGTAACAAAAGTCTTGTCCTCCTGCAGTCTTCGCTTCCAGAGTGAACAGCTTTCTGTCCATGTAGAAAGGGGAAAAGGGGCAACACTGCCCTTTCTAGTTACCCACTGAAGGACTAAGGACTGGGAAGGATGCTCTGTAATTACATGGGAAAGCTGGAAAATTTCCAGCTGGAACCTGTTTTTACCCCACTTGGGCTTTGCGTTTTTAGAGAGCCATGGACATGGGTGGGAAGAGGTTATCTGGCCGGACCAGAGGCCAGAGGAGGTGACTGCCACTGTGAGCAGTTCATATCTGGACAAGGACGTATTTGGGTGATGTAGAAGAAATGATAGTATGTTACTGGCAGGGGAACACTGGACTTTGTTGTCATCAAAGATTTTTCCTTGTCTGGGCTGACAAAGCTTTCTGTGGGGTTTTGTGGGTTTGCTTTCACTGAAGAAAAGGGGGGAAAAGTCCCAGAAATTCAAACTGCATGCACCTGAGTAAACACACCCATCCTAGATGCCCTAAGAAAAATGGAGTGGGTGAGTGGGAATTCGATCTGACAACACACAGGAAATCAGCAGTAATGGTTAAAGAGATACATGGAGGCACTCCCTGAAAAGAAACAGGATCTGCCCCAGCCTTTGTTTCTGTGCTTGCAGGCAGCTGAAGGTGTGGGCACAGGCACGATGGCTCATCCTCCTCTGCTCTGTGAAGTCTGACGCTCTTGCCCAGAGCTGTGGGTGTTTGATTTCACTTGTGAATTGTACCAGCCTGGCAAGGAAACTGCAGCACTTGTAGCAGGTGATGATACAAGGCACAGTAGGGAAGCTTCACTTCGGAGCAGATAATTGGTGTGCATGGTTATCCATACCTTAGTTCCTCTCCCTGTGCATTGACAGGAGAGGTGAAAGTCGGAGTTTGTGGGGTTACCTGGTCCAGCAGGGCATCCCCTGCAGCTCGTCAGCTCCCTGGGAAGTGCTGGGAGCAAGCTGAGACCCGGCTGGCTTTGTGCCCCACTCCAGAAGGAGCTACAGATCCTTCCTGAAGACAGAACTTGAAAGGAAGAGGACGTGCTTATTTCTAGCTTGGTTTTGGAAGTGCAGATGAAGGTGAAATTGTGTCTCCCTAAGCTCTAAGCAAGCTGCTCCTTCTCTTTTGGACCTAAACTCGGTGAGCTGCTAAACAGCCTTGTCTCGTGAAAGGTCTGGGAAATGGCCTCAATGCACAGGAACATCGGAGGGGGATCTGGTGTCTGATGCTCAGATCCTGTCATGCACAACTTCTGGGCTGTTTTGGCAGTGGTGTGCAAGGCTTCTTTCAGGGGATTGTTCTAAAGGGCTGCAGACGCAGCACCCTCCAGTGTCTCCACTGAGAAGGGAAGGAGCCCTTCAGGGGCCAGCCTGGGCACCGCTCATCTTCCACCCAAGTCCTGTGAAATACTTCCCTCTGTAGGTAGGTGGCTCCTGCTGCTCCTTATCCTCCAGGCTGTCACCTCCGCAGGGGTTTGTGTCTCCAAGTTTTGAAAGTTTGCATCTCTGTGTTCATTTGGTTGCAGTTAGCTTGTAGCTTCATGTGTGTTAAAGGGAGCAGTTAATTTAAATTGCATCTTTTGACAGCCAGGTGAACATGAAGCTTAGTGCTCTACCACTGACTTGTGTTCAGTGTACAATGAAGAAGACTTAATTTAGAGGAAAAATTTAAGCAATGAGTATTTGAAAAAATAAAAAACTCAGTTCAAGGTATGTTTTAGGAAGATACATGGATGTTTGCAAAAGCAGAATGGAAGATGAGCAGGGAAAATCAGGCATGAGAGATAGTTTGGAAAAGTGTTTGTTTAGTGTAATTTGTTCCAAATAAGTCTCCTAAAGCCAGAGAAGGGCAGGAGCAGAGGGAGTGGACTGAAAGTGGTTTGGAGTGAGTGACTTCTGGCAGAAGTTGGATCTCTTGGGGCAGAAAGAGACACTTCCCAAACCCCAGTGAGCTTGGCTTGATGTTTCCATCCAGGTCTGAGTGTGCTGCTGGTTTTGGATGTCAGTGTGCATGGAAAGCTGTGCCTGTGGGAGTAAAACCGACTTGGAATGTCTTTATTTCCATTCCTGCAAATACCTTGCAGTGTTATTTTTTGCCTGGCCCTGGCATCCTTTACAAAAACAACAGCGAGGTGCTTCCATGGGCCAGCATTGGTTCTAACCTGTGACAAACAAGAGAGTCCTTGTAACAAGGGGATTAAATCTGCCAAACGTTTGCTAATCCTGCTCCAGGACAGCTCTGCTGGGTGTTATCTCCTGTTCCAACCCCTAGCAGTTCACACAGAGCCCTCCATGGGTGCTTACCTCGTACCACTCTGGTGATGCTGAAATGCTCTGGGTTGTTTCAGGTCTATAAATGTGACTTGTCAACATGGGGAATAGCTGAGTCTTTCTCTGGGAGTTAAAGACAAATGAAATGCAGGTGGAATGATGGTGGAAGTGGTGCCAGCATTTGTAGCACTCATTTCATTTCCCAAAAGAAAATAAAAATGACTAATATGTGTGAAAGTAGGCTGTATTTCATTAAAAGCCAGTTTCAGATATATCAGCAGCATAAAAATAGGAAAACAGAATTGCAGGCTCAGTGTGTAGTTTAATATATTACAAAATCACTGTTATTTATGGTGCCTGAAGTATTATATAAACACTAATTCTAACAAGTGTACAGAGGGGGAACTTCTTTAGTTTTCTCCTGCTCAGCTGAGTGTTCCACACCCATTCAGAAAAGCCAAATAGCTGCATTACCACATAAAATACTTCCAAAAAACGGAAGCTGATCTTTAACTGGGATAAGGCACTGAAGTGTCCTCCATCAAGGAAGCTATAAATCATTATCATGAATTGAGATTCTGTCTCCCCTCTCAGCTGCCTGGTTTTTCCTTGGGTATCTTCACAGACATTATCCTACTTGATTCTTTCTTCGTTTACCAAAGATACATTAAAGGCACACATTCCTTAAGTAAGTATGTGGGAGGAAGCATTTGCACTGGAATTTAGGAAAAAGGCTGAGCAAATGGTTGAGGCTGGACCTCCAGTGCCTGGGACAAAGTGCAGAGTAGTTTCTTGCTAGGGGAACAGAGTTTTATAGGGAATTTGGAAGATGTTGTCTTGTCCCAGGTGCCAGTTTAAGGCTGTTTGTATGGGATGTGTGAACCAGGACTGAAGCCAAAGAATTTAAGAGAAACAACAAAAAAAAAAATTGTTTTGTTAGAACTGAGATACTCAAAGCAGTTTTGACAAGAAGCAACTTCATCTTGTTGAACTGTCATGGTAGATAATTTGAGTCTGACCGGGCTAATTGTGACCCATAGGTTAGATAAACTCTTTTCTTATTTTTCATAAGAGTTATAATTTGCATAAATAAGATCTCTTATTTGTTTTTCTTTCCTGCTTCCAGTTCTAGACCTTGTTTGTGTAGGGAGATTGGTGAGTGACTGGGACAATGAAGTGGAGATTTGGCTTTGGCACGAGGTAATTGTGTGGGTAAGTTGTGTATCCTGGCAGCAGCTGAGCTCCCTGTGTCCAGCTGGGTTCTGGAGGTGCCAGATGTGTAGAGTGCAGTAAATGCCCCATCATGTCAAAACCACTGCAGCCTTGCTCAATTGGCTTTGAAGGTTTGAGAGAGCCTGAGCTATCTTTGAGCTCACCTCACAGCTGAGCTGGTGCCTCTGAGCTTCTCTGCTGATCTTGAGTGGAGGTCTGAGGTGCCCCAGGGTGGGCACAGTGCCTCCTGCTCATTCTACATGGAGGTGACACAGCTGTAGCTGGCAGTGGCTGCTTTGCTTTGCACCATCTGACTGCCCTACTGCTGAGGGATGCAAAAGAAGAGCCATAAAATGGGTGTGTTTCCATGAACTGAGCCCCCACAGTCATTGCTGGATGGACCTTTCCCTGCTGGGACACTGGGGT